TTTAATCCTTGCTCTTTTTCCTTGCCAAATGAATTTACACATCATTTTATTCAAATTTTGAAAAAAATTCTTGTCTAATTTTATAGGTATACATTGGAATAAAAATAAGATTTTTGGCAACACATTCATTTTAATCACTGCAATTCTGCCCATAAGAGAGAGCTGTAGGTTAGTCCAAATATCAAAGTCTTTTTGAATCTGTTCTATTAACTTATCATAGTTATCCCTTTTAAGTGTAGCGCATTTGGCAGTCAATTGTATCCCTAAATATCTAATTTTATTTGTGATTTGAACACCTATTCTGTCAACCAATTCATTTTTCTGTATTTTAGTCATATTTTTGACGAGCATTTTAGTTTTTTCTTTATTTATCTTTAAACCTGCTATTTCCCCGTATCTGTTCAGTGTTTCCAACAGTCTTGTCCCTGATTGTAGTGGTTCTTCAATTATAAAGACTAAATCATCTGCAAAGACTTGTATTTTAAATGTCTCTTTCTTGATTTCTAACCTTGGATCTGTTCATCTTGCCGGATTACTCTAGTTAATACCTCAAGAGATAATATAAACAACAGGGTGATAGTGCGCAACCTTGCCTCGTGCCTTTTTGAATTTGGAAACTCTCAGTCGGTTCTCCATTGATTATTACTTTGGCCACCTGCTTAGAGTAAACTGATTTAAACATATTTAAGAAATTTTCCCCAAAGTCCATATACAATAATTTACTCTTGGCCGTTCCCTCAGACCTTGGACTGAACAACTAGTGGGTTCTCTGTATTTCTTTTGGATAAAGTAGCTTTTACTTCTTCTGGCCTTTTGGTGTTTCCCATTTGTATTTTATCTCTAATTTATTTGTACTTTTTATTCTATGCTACATAGAATCATTATAGAGTTTGGTAACTTCATACATTTTATAAAATCAGTCAGTCAATTAATAGTTCATTTCAGCTTCAGGGAATTTTTTCTTTTAAAGTTATGTCTATATATGTCATCATGGTTGAAATCTGGTCAACTAATGATGTACTGCTGATGGATTTTTGTTCATTTTTATAAGAAACAATAGCTAATCTGGGAAATGATAGACTAAAGGAAGATTTCCATTGCTTTGAGTAGTAAAAGAAGTAGTGAGACAATCCTCATGTAAATAAAACATTATCTGTTTTAGTCATAATATTAATAGATATTATGCCTAGTGAGGCAATATGCATAGGTTAGGAAACAGTTATGCACTGATCTCTCTTTTTCTGTATGTATATACATATTCATATATTCACATTCCTTTTTCCTAGATATATAGATAGTGGTCACAAATGATTTAAATGTTAAATTAGGCCCAGATATCATCCTTTTATAAGATAGATACAAGGGTTGCCGATCCAACATTAAAACAGAGCCTCTTTCCTTGATCTAGTATTTGAAGGATAGTAAGTTAAACTGCTTAGGATTTTATTCAGCTTGGATGGCCAGATCCCTTAGCTACTGTAAGTATTTTGAATAACTTCATTGGAAACAAGGGCTGCACATAGAATTTACTTAATGCTGCCTGTCATCCCCAAACAGTCCATTTCATAGAACAGCACTGTTCCACATAAGGCTTGAGAATCCCATTGGAGAGAATTTTATAAAGAAGAATTTGTGAATCAAAAAAGACATTGACATTCTACTGAAAACCTTGTTTTAGCTGCTGATTGAGGATTGCTAAAGTTAAGAACATACAGTAGTAGTGGCTAACTTCAGACAGAGCTAATCTTCAGGCGATGATTTAATATCTCAGATAATAAAGGATACTTTAGATTAGTGAGCTTCTGTTTTAGCTTTCTGTTTGTGTTTATACATAAATTGTATACCAAAACCAATGAACTTAAAGTACCCAACTCTTAAAAAGGGAAAAGAGATGACCCAAGAAATTACAGACCATTGGGAAAAGCAACTGGCTTCATGAAGGGATAGTTATCTGTCCACCAATAACTAGAGCTATGCTTTTCCCATGTTTCTATATACAAGTATATTGTTTATTGATTTCAAATTGGTATTTAGATCTGTTTATCATTTTACATTTCTGATTTTGTTACATACTTTTGTATATTTCATGATTTTAAAAGGAGTTCTCTTTTTGTTAAAATTATTGGGTTGCTTTAATCATGAATCTTATAAGATGAGAATAGTGAAAAGAGGATATTTGCTAACTTTATAAGAAAAGACCCATGAAAAAGATCTAAAGATACACTGTAAAATGTTTTTGTTGCAGGCTTTATTATTATTAAAACATGCTTTATTAATTCTCTTTATTTTTTAATACATATTCATATCATTTTTATTCCTGTTGTTTTATATGACATCTTTAACAATTATTTTCCTTTTTTATATAAAAAGTTTTTTTTATTTATAGTACAGTTAAAAACAAAGATGGACATAACATGACATTCCAAAATAAATATTCCTAACAATTTGTTCCTCTTGATACATGTAGTTAATACATAGTTCTTGATCTCTATATAAACATATTCTTCTATACAATACGGTTATATATACAGTTATATATAATTTTATCTTAACGCTAATTTAAAACCCGAGCAGTTATCCTTGATTCACACCAATGATAAAATTTGTCCCAGATCTCGAAATAGTCTGATTCTGTCTTATCCTTCATTTCCATTATGAGCCTATCCATTTCAGCACACGATAAAATTTTATATATAATCTCTTCTTCTGTTGGAATTCCTTTATTCCTCCAGTTTTGAGCATACACCAATCTAGCAGCCGTGAGAATGTGTAACATCAAATAAAACAAAGAGATAACACCTACAGAACTCTTGGAGGCAATTAAGAAACAAAAAAATAATAAAGCACCTGGGCCAGATGGTATACCTGTAGAAATGTATAAAATTGCACAAGAATCTTTAAGCCCAATGTTGTTGGTTCTGTTCAGTGAGGTCTTAACTAAAGCTAAAATACCAGCCTCATGGGAAGAACCCTTCTCACTTTGATTCCTAAGGAAAATTCAGACTTGGCGCATATTAAGAACTATAGACCTATTTCTCTATTAAATTTGGATTATAAGATCTTCATGGCTACAATGGCGCAAAGGCTTGAAAGATTCCTAGCCGATTTTATTCATTCTGATCAAAATGGCTTTCTACCCAAAAGATACATAAGAAACAATGTCAGGATTGTTTTGGACATATTGGAGTATTATGAAATGCACAATGAAAAGCAAATGGGTTTAATTTTCCTTGACGCACAAAAAGCATTCGACAATGTGAAATGGGATTTTATGTTCAATCAATTATTTTATATGGATTTTGGGGGAAAAATTTTAAATATGTTCAAATCAGTTTATTCTAAACAGGCAGCAAAAGTAGTAATTAATGGAGAAATGACTGACAGCTTCCAAATTCAAAAAGGCATGAGGCAAGGTTGTCTGTTATCACCACTGTTGTTCATATTATCTCTCGAGGTATTAATTAGAGTAATTCGGCAAGATGAACAGATCAAAGGTTTAGAGACCAAGAGAGAAACGTTTAAAACACAAGCTTTTGCAGACAATTTAGTTTTTATAATTGAAGAACCACTACAATCAGGGACAAGATTGATGGAAACACTGAGTAAATACGGGGAAATAGCAGGTCTGAAGATAAATAAAGAAAAAACTAAAATGCTCATCAAAAATATGACCAAAATACAGAAAAATGAACTGGTTGACAGAATAGGTATTCAAATCACGAACAAAATAAGATATCTGGGGATACAATTAACTGCTAGATGTGTTACACTCAAAAGAGACAACTATGATAAGTTAATTGAACAGATTAAAAAGGATTTAGATATTTGGACTAACTTACAGCTCTCCTTCATGGGCAGAATCGATGTAATCAAAATGAATGTGTTACCGAAAATTTTATTTTTGTTCCAATGTATACCCATAAAATTGGATAAGAAATTTTTCCAAAACTTTAACAAAATTATACTCAAATTCATCTGGCGAAGAAAAAGAGCAAGGATCAAATTAAAATTACTGCAGGATTTAAAGGAAAGGTAGGGGGGACTTGGCCTCCCTAACCTGGAAAAATATTATCAGGCCATAGTATTATGGGTAAGGGATTGGATATTATTAAAGAATAGAAGACTATTATGTTTGGAAGGTCATGACCTACAAATAGGTTGGCACGCCATGCTGTGGGATCATAAATATAAGACTCATAAATATTTCCGAAGGCACTATATCAGACAAGCTTTAATTGATGTATGGGTTAAAATCTGGCAACCAAATTATACCCAAGTTCCCAGTTGGATCTCATCGTTAGAAATGCATGTACACCCAAAGTTTATTCAACTGGGAAAGATTATAACATATAAAAATATCCTAGACGAGAGAGGAGAATTGAAACCCAGGAAAATTCTTCAAGGTGAAGGAATAGAATTAGAATGGTGGGCATACCTTCAATTACAGGCGAGATATTGGAAAGATAAAAAAGAGTTAGGTATAAAATTAGAACTGATTGGGCTGGACAAAATATTATTAGGCACGGAGGATAAAATGATTAAAAAACTATATCACCATTTGTTAGATCAGGCAATGTATGAGGAACAGGTAAAAGAGACTATGTTAACATGGAGCAAGGATTTTGATCTCAATTTTGATCTGCACATCTGGCAGAAATTATGGGTAAGAAACAGGACGCTTACCTTGGCCACCTCTTACAAAGAAAACTTCTACAAAATGTTCTACAGGTGGCATCTCCCACCCATAAGATTAGCTAAAATGGGTCCATATGTCTCCTCCAAATGTTGGAAATGTAAATTGGCAAAAGGGACATACTATCATATGTGGTGGGAATGCCCACGAGCCTGTGACTTTTGGAATAAGATTAAAAAATGGCTGGAAGAAATATTAAAGTTAGTGGTAGAGTTAAAACTAGAACTCTTTTTACTAGGCATAACCATGCAGAAATACAACAAAGGAGTGTTTTATTTGATTTTAACAATTGTTTTCTTCCCCCCAGTGTTCTGTCCTGTTTCTACCTTACCAGAATTTGAAGGTTCTGCACCAATAATTTCTTTTCCATACCTTACACATTATCAGCGTATTTTGTACCAGTGCAAACCAGGATTTAAATTAATCAATGAAAAAGTAAGCGTCATGGTGTGTCATGATGGTACCTGGAAACCAAAGAAAGATTTTTGCGAAAGTATGTCTTTTTCTTACTGGGAAAATGTATTTGTTTTTGTTATGTTTAAAGAGTTACTGTAAGACTTAAAATATAAAAAAAAACACCAGGTAGTGGTTGTAATGCTTTCTTTGAAATATGCTAAAGTTGCCAGTTCTGGCTGAAAAACCTGGAGGATTGCTAGAAAGATGGTAAAAGAGAAGCTCTGGCTCTATGCTGACCTCTAGTGGTTATTTGGATTTTTCACTCTGACACTTGGCCCTACATAAGCAATGCTGTAATGCAGTGATGGCGAACCTTTTAGAGATTGAGTGTCCAAACTGCAACCAAAAATCCATTTATTTATCACCGGGTGCCGGGTGGGCAGGGCCGACCGGGTGAGCGTAGCTGCGGTGGGTGTGGCCACCTTGATGGTGCTGGTGGATGTAATTTATACATAAATTTCAAGATAAAATTATAGCTTTTGCTCTGTAAAGATCCATTGATAATTGGATTAAAGTACTCAATTGCTTACGGTATTTGGAATTTGTGTATAGATTTGCAGGAAAGTATATTATTATAAAATTTGGTAGTGCATTTAGAATAGAAAAGCCTTGGAAGTATTACATGAGTAATAGAGCACAGCACTCATGCAGACCTCTTTTTCTATCAGTGCATTCTCTGGCATTTAATAACAATCTTTGGCTTATCCTGAGGACACTAATGACGGTTTCGGTTGGTTCACAGTACTTAGGTGGAAAGTCACCACTTCCATTGGGGCCCTACAAAATATACATTTTTTGTTGATAAGTTCTTAGAATTTTATGTACATATGCAGATACATTTTCTATTTATAGATCTTAATAGGGAAGTAGTGAAAATTGTAACAATTAATAATTTCCCAGTATTGCCTATATACTATTTGTAGTCTGTCTTAGTCTTTATCCATGATCATTTTGTATTTCTTTTTAATTGTTTCTCCCCTCCTTCCACCAGAAATACATTGTGGGCAGCCTCCAAATATTATTGATGGATTTCACAATGGAAATGCAACCACTTACCCTATTGGAACAATAATAAATTACCGTTGCAGTAAAAATTTTTCCCTTATAGGGGCATCATTTATGGTGTGCAGTGCTAATAGAAATCTTACAGGGCTGTGGAAGGAGAAGCCACCCATATGCAAAGGTTGATTTTTTTTCCTCCTTCATTTTAAAACTTACGTGTTGTATGTTCCTTTTTTGTTTTTTCAGTAACATTGAATAATTATTTTGCTTTATTCCTAAGCATATTTATATCTGGTTCTCTCAGTTTGTTTAATGGTAGCCTTCTCTTAATCATATAAATGTAGTTTTTGCTTATATATTTAATTGATCAATACCAACTGATTCAGTTCAAAGTGGCATATAAAGGAATAACAGTTAAAAGTTTTTAATTTAAATTTGATTCAGAGTTTCAGGAAAAACGCTTGCCTTTTGGAGGAGAAATTATTGGAGATTTCTGTTGTACTGTATTTTTGGACTATGTTTAGGTAAAATACAGATTAAAAAATGTACAGAAATAGTAAGATATTTTATATCTTACAGTTGTATTTATTTTCCTATCTTATTAGAGGTATTCTGCAAAGATCCAGTGGTGGAACATGGAATAAAGATAACTGAACTTGGGAAGCCATATATATATCGAAGCAATGTTACATTTCAATGCAAAATTGGATATTTTATGATTGGAAGTTCTTTGATTCGATGTGAAAAGAACAACATTTGGGTTCCCATAGCACCGTTATGTAAAAAGAGTAAGGTTTTACATTTTTAAAAATATTCGATTGGAATTCCTTTTCTCATTTAGTAATAGAATAGAATAGAATAGAATGGAATAGAATAGAATAGAGCTGGAAGGGACCTTGGAGGTCTTCTAGTCCAGCCCCCTGCTCAAGCAGGAGAACCTATACCATCTCAGATAAGTGACTGTCCGGTCTCTTCTTAAAAACCTCCAGTGATGGAGTGATCACAATTTCTGAAGGCAAACTGTTCCACTTATTAATTTAAGTCTTCTCAGTAGTATAATAAACCACAATAAGTTGCAGAAATTAACAAAAAAATTCATTAACATTCAGCAATTAATATTTTTGCAAGCAGGTTGCAACAGTATCTAATAAATGAGTGAAGCACTGATTAATAATGAGCCTCAGAAATATGCCTTATGAAGATCAGTGGCACCTGACTGCATATATAGTGGCTGCCTTTAAAGCAGATTACTTGCAGAAATGCATGGCTATTATCTGGGCACTGCCAAAAGAAAAGCCACACTTTTTCTCTCCTTAGGGTGGTATAAGGACAAGAATTATAGTTTTAATCATGATTTTTAGAATGACAAGCACACTACATTATATCTTAGTACAATGCATCAATGCATGTTATATTATTTTAGCTTTCACTGAATAAATGAAATAGTTTCTTGTTAATATGGAAGAGAGGAAGGGAGCTGCCAGGCTGCCCTTATGAATTTTGTGCTATATTTATGGATACTTGTGGAGTTTTTGTTTGTTGGAGGTTTGGAGTTTGGAGCAGGCTGGGCTGGACAGGAACAGACTCCGCAGAAGAGCTACTCTTATTGTTTTACTATTCTGGCCATTTTATGGCATTTTGCAGCTTTTTTGCAGTTGCGTTTTGCTAACCATGTTTGTTGTTTTGTTGTGGACCTGGCAGCATTTTTGTGGACGGGATTCCAGCTCCTCGTCTGTTTTTCTGGAAGACCAGAGCAGTCTGGCATGCCAAGAAACCTCTGACCCATAGCATGGCAAGCAGCCTCAAGGCTATGGAGTCCTGGGGCTGCTTGCCACACTGCAAGGCAAGATATAGAGTAGCCAAAAGGGCAGAGATGGCAGGGAATAAGCAGGTGGGAGGAATTGAAGATGAGGAAGTCCCTTAGAAGAACTGAGGGTTGGGGCTGAGAGGGACCATACCTGGAATGACTTGGATTGGGATGTCCTTGGGAAATTAAAAAAAAAATCCCAGAAGAAGGCAATGACAAATTATTGTTATTGTTGCAACAAATAAAAACAACCCACAAACAAATCAAAGCACGGTATGCTTTGAAGGAGAATTTAAATTGAAATGAAATTCAATAAATCATTTTAGTCTGGTTGCCTAGGAATCTATTTATAGACATGTCAGAGTGTAATTTGGTATAAGAGACACATCTCTAGCTTGAAATGGACCAGGTTTGTGATTTTGTGTGACATGAATATGAACCAATTAAGAGAAACTGAAGTGTAACATACTGTCATAGCATTATCAGAATCTATATGGATGGTGTGTCTTGACAATTTTTGTATATAAAAATTATTTTTATTACAGTTTCTCCAGACATATGTGGTACTCCATTGATTCTCAATGGCAACATACAGCCTTTGCAACCTCAGTATGAAACTGGAAAAACAGTTGCCATAAGTTGCAACCAGAACTATTCTTTTATTGATGACACCACAGTGATGACTATACAGTGTCAAGGCTATAATCTCTGGAATCCTCCCGCACAATTATGTTTCTGTAAGTATAAATTTAGGTGTGAAGTGTTCTCTTCTATTGCTTCTAATGCTATAATCTAGACAAATGTAGCTATAGAGGAGCAATATGTTTTAAATATTATCAATTTCCATAAAGTGAATAGGAATGGTCCATTAAGTGCTTATTAACTTCCTTATATCTTTTTATAACAATGAGCTTCTAAATAATATATTGAGTCTTGACTGGAAATCATAATAAACTTTTTGCAGTAGATTAAAAATGAACATGATACAGTGGTATCTTGCTACTCATCCTTAATTTGTTCCAGGAGGCATGATGATGATTACCAAGCATGATGAGTACAAAACATTTTTTCCAATAAGGAATAATGTAGTGAGTCACATGGTAGCTGACACAGACAAGTTCTAGCTTGTGCATTGTGTACCAAACAAATGATGAGTATTAGGACACAATTTTCACATCAAAATGTGTTGAGTACCAAATTTGATGAGTTTCAAAGCAACTGTGTATCAAGGTACCACTGTACATCGTTCTGATGATTAGAAAAAATAGGTGATAAAAAAATGAAAGTTTTGCTATAACTATAGAATAAAAGGTTAATTTACATCCATACTTATAAATCTGAAGCTATTTCTTTATATTTGCTTTCTTTTGTTCCAACCCTTAATTTTTGTCACTATTCTTTCTTTTCTTTGTTGTAAATATTAGTTCTTTTTAGTTTTTATCTTTCTTTTATTAAAGTTTGATAGAATATTTTTTAAAAAAGATACGTTCAGTCCAGTTATATTTTCCTACTTTATTATAATAATGACATGTTTTAAGATTGAAGTTTCCAGGAGAGTCAGAATATTGCACCTTATGTTTTTGTTGACAGTTTCTGAATATTGTAATGTATTGCTTGATGAATTTAAATGAATGTTTAGTTTGTACTGAAAAAGATCAGGAACAATGCAGACAAATCATTATAAGGAAGTAATTTTTTTAACTTCCACAATAATCATCTTGTCACCTTAGCAAGGTAACTTTAGAAAAGGATGTTTGCCCCTGGTAATGTGCACCCCACCCCTATCCATCCATCCATCCATCCATCCATCCATCCATCCATCCAACCATTGCACTCTCTTCCCATTTTTGACCATCTTCTAAGATATTGCAAACAAAACAAAACTTGTAACTATAACAGTTGTAAGCCCAAGTATTAAGGATTAGGGAAAATAATAGAGTAGAATGGAATTCTATATTGGCCAAGTGTGATTGGACACACACAAGAAATTTGTCTCTGGTACATAAGCTTTCAATATATATATATAGCAACAAGTGCTAAATCATGATCATAATCATAAAATACAATCATCATAAATCATGATAACACTCAGTGATAATCATAGAACAATAAATAAGCAATCAACATAAATCATAATAGAATACTAAATAAAAGCAATCAGCATAAATCATGAGATACAAACAACAAAGTTATAGTCATAAGAATCTAAGGAAATAGGTAATAAAACAGATGAGAAGGATAATAAGTAATACAGTCCTACTAGCTGCTTTGACATCCCAGGGCATTGACAGTGTTGTGGGGACATCCCAGGGCATAGACAGTGTTGTTTAACAGAGTTGATAGCATGGGGGAAAAACTGTCTTTCTGTCTGGTTGTTTTGGCATGCAGTGCCCTATAGCACTGTCTTGAGGAAATAAATTGAAACAGTTTATATCCAGGATGCGAGGATGCTTTTTTTTTTTTGCTTATAATACATATTTGTATTTTTAGTTAGAACTTCACCAGATATTTTTCACCTTTTCATCAATCATGGAAAAATAGTCCTTGGGAAGAAAAAATATTACGACCCTGGAGATGAGGTGGTTATTGCATGCCATGCTGGCTATGTATTGATAGGACCATCTAGAATTAAATATATTGGTGGGAAGAAATGGTTTCCTAGTATTCCAAATTGTCATCTGAGTAAGTATTAATGAAAATATATACCTATACTAAGTAAACGTTGTTTTAACTGCCTAGAAATTATTTGTCTTGCTGTTCTGTTTTTACAGTATAGCATGAATTTGAAGATTGTAGATAGAAGACAGTAAATGGCATCAAAGGATATGTTCCCAGTTTACCTCTCTATTCCCTTTGTTTCTTTTTTGTGAAAAGAAATCAGATTTTGCTTTGTTGTGGCAAGATAAAATAGAGATTGGAAATTCTGGTCAGCTCTTTTTAAACTGTATATTTTCTATCAGCTCCTATAGTGTGTAAATAATTTACACACTATAGGAGTGTGTAAATTTTAGTACTGCTGTGCTGAAAACCTATTGATGGTATTATTATCCGTTTGTCACACAGCCAGATGTTCAGACTGGATTTGGCATTTTTATCCACCTATCAAGTACTTACCAAGGACCTTGGATAAGCAGATATTGATGTTATACTGTTAGAGTTATCCCAAAGTATGCAAGTTATTCCCAGTAAAGCTGTCTTTTGCAATTAACTGATGGTGAATTTGTCTATGCTCCAGTTGTTTTGGGACTGCATCAAAGGAGTCTACTATGATTGATACTACCTTTGCTTTCTTTTGCCACAGTTGTTTTGTTTCTATTTTCAGATCTTTATATGTTGTTATCTTTCTCTTCTGTTATCTCCAGGTGCTACCATGTCCACTATCTAGACTTTTTTGTCTTTCTTACTGACATTTGGCATATTATGAAGCAGGTCTGTTTGAATTCTAAAGTCCCAGAACACTTTAGTTTCTTTATATTCTATTATTTTATCTATTTTATGGTCCCATTAGTTCTTGCTTGTGGGCAAATGGTATTTCTTGCAGATCTTTGAAAGCAGCGCTATCGTTGCTACTTTGTCATACTGTTATTTGTAATTTTCTTGCAGCAGCTAACCAGGTAACCTATTTTTTCAGCTTCTTTGCAGAAGCAGCACTTGCTATCTGTTGCTATATTTTCAATTATGGCTTTATATACTTTTGTTCTTAGGGCTTGGTCTTGTGCAGCCAGAACTGGTCTTTTTGTCTATTTCTTCAACATTCCTGATCATAGTTATTGCCAGGTCTTGATATTATCTGTTTTCCTTGTTATTTTTTAAAAATGTACTGGCCATGTAATATGCCTCATTTCTATTCTTCATTTGATCTTTCTTGCAGGGCAATTTGGTCTCTCCAGTGTTCAGTAGGCCTTCTTAGTATACTAGCTTCAAAGAATCTTCTTTACTGTCCTTCAGATATTCTTCCAATGCCTTATTTTCTTCTTCAAGTGTCTCATATACTTGCAACATTCTGCACCCATCCATTTTCCTTGGTGAGTTTATTAACATTGTTCTGAGGATGAAGGGCATGATTCATTGTCATTATTTTTCTAGTCTTCTTACACAGAGCTTTTATTCTGCTTGAATCCAGTCCACTATTCCAACTGTGTATCTGATGACTAGAATTGCCCAGGTGTTAATTGCCTTGATGGTATTTCCTCCTAACTGTACTGCAACTGTGCTATATATTAGTGGGATTGTTTTGTTACTTGCAGCAATACTTCACTCTCTTGATGTATTCAATTCTAATCTTTTTCTTGACTTCAGTGTGCTTGGTACTGTCAATCTGAAGGATGCCCAGGTATTGTAGTGATCATTTTCATCCAGATTTTTGAAGTTATTTTTATGGGCCATCTTGATTCCTTCAGTTTTTATCATTTTCCCCCATTTGATAATAAGCATGGCAAATTTGTCCAGTCCAAACTCCATTGCAATATCTTGGCTATATATGGATAGTATTGAGCAGCGATTCAAGTAGTGTTTTTCCATACAGCTTTAGATTGTCAATGTAAAGGAGGTGGATAATCTGGCAGAAGTCTTGGTGTTTGATAGCCATGGCCTAAATTCTCAGTATGTTGACAGAGGAATCAGTGCAGGGACAAACAGTGGTGAAAGTGAGTCTTCTTAAAAGATCCCTCTCTTGATGTCAATCTATTACCATTGCTTAGCATCCATGTCTTCTATTGTGCCCTTGATCTATGCACACGTTTCTGATGTTTCTACTGACTCCTGTTATTTCTAGGTACTTGATGATCCAATCATGTGGCAGGGAGATGAATGCCTTCTTGTAATCAATCTATGATATATTCATATTGTTCTTTCTTCCCTTGCAGTTTTCTAGAATCATCTTGTCAATTAGGAGTGGATCTTTTCTTCCTGTTTGAGCAATTTTTTTCTGCTTAGATGGAAAGAGCTTGTTTTCAATTGGATGCTATTAGACAGCATCAGCCACCACACCAGTCAGCAATTTGACAGTTGTTGGTTATTAGGGAATTGGCCTGGGTTGCCAGATGCTGCCTCTTTTGCTGGATCTTTCATTTTCAGGCAGGTTTGCCAGATATTAGTTACTCTTCCATTTCACCTCCTTGCAGTATGTTGTTACTGTAAACTGCTTGACAGTCAGTACCTGTAAATTGATCAGATGTTTCAACCAAAATCTATGAAATTCATCTTCACTTGCTGCTGACCAATTCTTGATCTTCCTTGCCCTTTTCTCCATCATTTCTGCTATTATTACAAGGTCTTTTATTTTATCTTCTTTTTTATTCTTATCTACCTCCTTTAACCAAGCTGCATTCTTGTTATATTTCTTATATCTTTACCCAAAACTGCCGTTTCTTCCTTTTCAGGTGCTGATTGATTCACTGCAGCCTCTCCATTGATAGATTGGAGAAATGTTTCTACTTGGATTGAAATTGGAGATTCTCTCTATAATTAGTTTCGTATCTGCTAATCTTCTTGATTATAACTGTTATTTGCTACATTATTATTCCCACTGCTTCCTTGATCTTCCTTGTTTCTAAGTGGTATTTCTTGATTAGGTATTCTTTGGTCTTCTTTTTCTTAAGTTTCTTTTCATTCATCTGTTCTAATTTAGTTGAATCTTACCTCAGTTTGCTAATCTTATTTTGCAGCCTCATCTTCCATTTTGGTTGTGTATAGTTTGGCATTTTTCTTTGTTGATTTTGCATCCCAGATATTCAGTTATAATTGCAGTTGTGCTGTACATTAGTTGGAATATTATTTGTAGTGAGCTAGTGCTTAAATTTGATATTGCACTATTTGACATCTTTTAATGCTTGTGCTAGCTATTTCTTTGGAAAAAGCTTCAACACAAGCAACCTTATTCTGTTGTTTTGTGCTGTTCTAGATGCTCAGTGATTTTTTATTTCAATTCTTCTACTTTTTTAATTAGAAGGCTTTGTTCTATCTGAGGTAGAGAAGAGGGTGTCTGATTTCTAAATGAGAACAATTCTATAGCTGTACTGGCTTCCTCTACTGCCAACTCACCATGGTTTGCATTTAGTTTGAGTTACTAATGGGAAGGCTTTAGTTTCTTTGCAATTGTAAACATTTGCAATTCTTCCAATTTAGCTTGTGTGAATACTTTATTTCACACTATAAATCAATATTGATCTGTTCTGTTATTTCTGATTCTGGATGTTGTTTTCCCAAAAATGGTGCATTTGTTTCAAACATCCTATTGTTGGACTTGATCCGCAACAACACATAATTATTTCTTTGTTTTCAATTATTGTATATTTATGATGAGTAAATTCCTTTCTTTCCAGCTGCAGCTGCTGGCCCTAGTTGTTCAACCATCAATCTTGAGCCCTGTAGCCCATTTTTTATCAGATATCCAGGAACTCCAACATCTAGCATAGTTCTTGTTGACTGGTGACCACTGAGCTGGTATGGGTTTCTATAATTTATATCTCACCATATTTTTTTATGGGAGAGACACTTTGTTTGGCTCCTCTGATGAGACCTGTCTAATATGGTTGAACCTCTGCCATACTCTCATTTTCTTCAGAATATACAAGCCCCACAACCATGTCAAGGTAGTGCCTCACTGGGGGTCAAGGTAATGCTTCACTTACTATAGGTAATTACAATTAGATTCATGTCTAAGACTGTTGGGACTTTAGAAACTCAAGTCCTAACCAAGGGCCTAAGAATGATTAAGGTAGAATACATGCAGTTCCTAGCAGAATGGGGTTTTTTTTGTAAAATTATGATATTTAAATCTAATACATTCAAAATTTCCCAATGTTGAGGAAGCTTTTTAGGTATTACTTTAAGGGGTCCAATCATGATTGGTATAAAAGTGGATTTCTTATTCCATAAGCTTTCAAAATTTTCCAAATACTTTTCAATTTGATGGTCCCAGTAGTTCATACTACATTCAGATCCAGACCTCTGGCAAAGTTTCTAATAAATCATTTTGGCAACTCAGTCATGACTCTGCTTGTACCCAGTTTGTGTAATTTTATAGTCAGTTTGCTGCAGCCATTGATCAAATGGTCAATTATATTAAAAGAAGGTGGAATAATAATACCAATAGTAATAGGAATAATAATCACTATCAGTCAATTACAAAAGGCAGTTTAACTTGGAACTGTTACATCCTGCAACAATACCTTTAACAGCATCAAACATCAACATTGGACTATCCCAAGATCTTGGGAAGGACTCAGCAGGACAAAAGTCCTCAATCTGGTCTAAACATCTGCCTGGAAATGTGAGCATCCATAATTGTAGATATAATTTATTAAATGGGGGACAGCCCAAAGAAAAATGAAGTCAAGCAAGCTGAAAGAGTGAGCTTGAAAAAGAACCTAGCTCACAAAATAGAGCAATCAGTATTGGTAGTTGGGTTGTATCCATTTTGGAGGGGGGAGGAGCAGAAGTATACGTAACTCATAGAACCATTCAAGGTTCAGATACACTATTTGGGAACAACAGAGAAGCACAGAATTATGATTTCAATTGCAAGCAGTGATAAGAGTGAGCACTGAGCTTGCTTAAATCTGCATCTCCTCTCAGATGGTGCTTGATTAGCCAGCCGGGAAATTCCTGATTTTGCCAGTTCTTAACCTCAGCTGCTCACTATATATTAGGAAAAGAGATAACTTTTCCTTTATCAGAGGACTACTTGGAGGCAGTTTTAACTAGGATTTTCCTGAAATGAGAATGGATTCAGGAGCTATCTGTGTATCATCTGCTTGTGTGATCTGGCAGCATTGTACTTTAGGGTATAATAAAGAATACATCAATAAATAAATAATTATCCTTTATTATTTATTTGCTTATTAAAATTGTTTTAAAATAACCAATATTTTTATATTTTTAAAAAGAAATTTTATCAAAAATTTATTTCAGTATGAGTAGATCAATTTATATTCTTTTAAAACTGTGATTTCTTGATTGTACAATAGGTTTTTAAGTTGAAAGCTCATTTTTTTAAAAAAAATAAATACTTTAATTATTTGAACCTCCTCAGAGTGTAGAATTTCAGCTAATAGTAATAATTTTCAAGCCTAAATACTTCATCGTTCCATAAATAATCTGCATGCTCACTTTGTAAGAAATTCGCTTACCAGAATAATTTTTCTTCTTCTTTTTAGGTATCTTCCTCAAACTAGTTATATTTGGTATGTAACTTGTAAATGAAAATATTAGCACTATTCAATGCTGCTTTCAAAAAAGTCTGCAGTTTGCTTTTGGGAAACATCTTCTATTTCTTTAATAGGAAAATTAGTTGTTCCATTCATTTTAACCCAGATGTCTCAATAGTGCAACCAAGTTGAACTTGAACTTCTGTGCAGATATGAATAACAAAGAACACAATTTTGTCTCTATTATTTCTATTCCTGAGACATGTACAGCATAGCTTGGAGTTTGCATTCATGTTGTGGGAGTTCTGTGATTGGATTTTGGATATAGTCATTTCATTACGTTAGGTAATATTGCAGCAGTAATTCTGAAGAAATTGTTTTTGATGAAGGAGTTACATATCCTTCTGTATACCAGCTCTGCATGTGCTTGAGTGGCATGGATAATACATGGGTAAATAGTATTTTTTGCAAGTGAATGATCCGTGATGCTGGTAGATAATTTGATTGATAAGATGGTGCTTTTGTCTTATCTGCATTTTGATTGCATTCTTTGTGATTGGTAGAGTTGATAATTATATGATGAGATGATTCCTTAGGAAGGTATTGTTCTTTTCCCATGATTGTTGCACTGTAGATGGTTATCAATTATTAGTATGCATTTGCTTGCTAGCTTACTTCTATACTTGCAATATGGTATGTGGATGATAATTCCCAAAGACTGTCTAAGAGATTAACAATTAGGATACTAGATACATGGCTCTATCTTATCTAGGTGTTTGGGAAAGTGCTTTTTGTGAAGGTGTTAACTTTGGATCTTTGTAATGCCCAATTTTATGTCTTTGTGTCTACTGGTCACTGATTCTAAGAATTCTTTTGAAATTTTCAGTCTGGCTGGTTCCAAGATTTCCATGTTTCCCAATTGGTTAAACATGTGACTCTTTGGGTGGAGGGAGATTAATGAAGTCATACTTTATTTTTTTTTAATCACTAGTTGCTATTTGTGAGTATGTTTTGTTAACTTTCTGCCATCCAACGTAGTGATCTTTTCCCTGTAGTCCCGTATTCTTCCATTGGTAATGAGTCTTTGCCTAATATGCTTCTCAAGGAACATTTTTATTTGTGTACCAAAGTTATTCCAAATAGTTGAAATAGTCTGTTACTGGACTCTGGTATGAATTTCTTCAAAACTCATACATCAGAAAAGCTATATGGTAAAGTAATGAGACACTCCCTTACTGCAACCCAAAATCAAAGTTTGAAGAATTCCTCCAGTGCAACATGCTTCTGTTTCTTTTGTAAAAGTTGTATCCTTCAATTGCTATATTTTATTAATGAGACTGATCCAACAGTGTCTCGATATCTCTTCAATCAAATTTGCATTCTTGAAATAATAATAATTTGGTTTGTTTCCAGTTGAGCATTAATATACAAAGAATGAAGGCTATAAAGTTATGAATTAAGTTTCATACTGATTGTTCAACCAATTTAATTGTCCATAACATAGTTAATTTCTGCAATTAATAGGTATTAGAGCTGGAATAGTTTCCAAATAATATTCCAGCTGTAAGGACTTAATTGCATGACTGACATTTTGAATATGTATTAATTTTTTGATTTTAGTTATTTTTACTATGACACTGTAATTTTACTATGGCATGTAAATTTTCTTTTCTTTTTAGGGTGTTCATTACCTGTGTTGATTCTGGCAGTCAAAATGTTTTACCAGAAATATTTAGAAGAAAGGTAGAACTTGTCTTATTTCCTGAATTTTGTTTTTCTTTTCCTTTATATGGGCACTACAGTATTTTTAGATAGAAAAAAATGCAATTATCAGTGTAAATGCCATTCATGCATGATATTTATATATTGTAGTTCCATGGTGGGGGAAAAATAAAGCTAAGGAGTAGACAGATTATGCTGTTTTGGGCTCGTATCAGTTTATATGTATTCCTTCAGAAATTGTTCTAAATCTTTTTTTTCCCATTGATGTGTATTTTTGTTAAAGAAAAAAGCTACATATATATTTATGTCTATCATGAATTCAGGGATAGTAGTAGAAGCACAGAGGCTCATATGATTAGGACGCTAAGTTAATTTGCAAGTCTACATTTGAAGCTCAAGTTCTGCTGAATGTCAGGAAGAGCTCCCGTCATTCGCTCCAGCTCTTGCCCACCTAGCAATTCGAAAGCCTGCAAATGTGAGTAGATAAATAGGTACCAGTTCGGTGGGGTCATTAATGGGGATATGAGAGAAGCACCCAATTGGGCACCATATGGGCAATGGTGATGTCATTAGCTATTTTTTTTTCACCATGGAAATGACTCGGTGCTTCCAACATGGAAGTACTTCTAGTAGTAGTGATAGTACAAATTGAAGTAAGATTCACAAACGTTCTTATTGGAACACCTTTAAATTACAGAAGAAAAAAACTAGCTATCACTTTCTAATATATAATTGGTATGTTTATCTTGTGTCCATTATTCTACTGGCTGTTCATAATTTTCTAAATGCTATTCTGTTTACCATATTAAACCTGTATTCTGACATATTTTATTATTCTGCCTATAGGTTAGTTCTCTGATATCCTTTATTTTTGTGTAATTTATAATCTTCTACTCTAGCTTCCAATTTGTTTTAATTTTTTTGTGGTCCTAATTCCAAAATTACAAAAGGATCTAAGACTCCATCATAAAAAGTCCACAAAATTTATTATCAAGATAATCACATCTAATAATGCTCAGTACAATCAGTGTGCCAGCTGTATCACACTCCTGGGTCTCTGTGCCCACTGACAAAGCCCTGTGTTTCAGGATCTTTCAAAAGGTTAGCAAGATCAGGGCCAAACTGATCTCTGGGGAGAAAATATACCACATATCACGGTAAGGCATTTCTCTGATGGGTATGACCCATTGTGTTCCAGCTTTATTCTCTTGTAACCTCCTCCAATGAATGTAAATACAAACTTTAATTGCCTTTTCTTACTGATGTCTTACTGACAGACATTTCTTTTTCTTAACAGGTGAACAAGAGAAAGCCAGAGAAGAATGAAAAAGAAGAAAGTACTGACACAGCAGCTATAATAGTTGCTTGGCTGCCTGGAGCATGAGTAGAATTTGTTCCAACATGAGAAAAAAGACAATTGAATGAGCAATGACGTATTCTGCAGTATGTTCAGAGAGTATCCGGCATCATTGCTTTAGTGAAGGAGCTCAGTAGCAGCAACTGCCAGGTAGATTTAATTTATTTTTTTCCCTTCATTCTTTTGGCCCTTAGTTGTGTAACAGGCCATATTTTGTTAAAAAACTTAGCAATAGTAGTAGTGCTTTCATTCTATGCTGATAGTACATCATGCTTTTAATTGTGCTGGTAGTAGTAGATTAGAATTTAAATATAATAAAAGTTTATAAAGTATAGGTAGTTGTTGACTTAAAACTGTACATTTAATGATGGTCTAGAATTACAAGGGCTTTGAAAAGGGTGCTTTATGGCCAGTAAAACTTTCAGCCATCACAAAATGCTGCACACCTCTGTAGTCACGATTATAATCTGGTTGCTTGACAAATTGTTGTGCTTACAGCCAGTTGCTAAGCACCCTATGATCATATGATTAACTATTTGCAACCTTCCCTGCCAGCTTCTCTAGAAAGTCAGTGGGGAAACCAGCAAGTAAGATTGCAAGCTGCTGCCACCTGCTGAGAGGATTGCCTCTTACCTGAGGGCTGGCTGAAAGAGCTGTTTCCCAAAGGGAGCTGAACTCCTATGGCAGGATGCAAAATATTGTTGAAATACTGAAGATTTTATTCTGTTCCTGCACTCTGCCAAAGGAGTTTCTTTATATTTCTTTGTATTTAAAGTATATATAGAAATAATGTTTAAGGCTATTATGTTTATAACTTGTGATATTTTTTCTCATTCTGCATGTTGAGACTTTGAATACTTCTCAACTAGTTTAATTAAAGTGACTGTATTGAGTAGGTACAAAATTTGATGGCTCATAGTTGGTATAAGAACAGCTGTGACATGTAAATTTCATTACCAAATTTTCCAAAATATTCCCCTGGAGATACTCCTATTCAGCTGATCAATTTTAACTCATGTTGGTGCTGAAAGCTTATATTCAAATATTCTCTTTAATTTCATTATATCTTCATTCCTAATGAAGCAGACTGTAAGTCTTGATTTGCTTCCATATTTAGATACCTACAATTTTGTTAGCATGGTTTTTTGTAAGTAAGTTCTAGAAATTAAGTTAGTTAAGATAGGCCATTGTGAAAGAAAAATTGGAAGTAAAAAGAGACATGGATGAAACATATAGAGTATACACAAATTATGCACGAAGGCATAGATTGGCGAGAGAGGTTCATATAAGGTTTACTAGAAGATCAATAAGGGATGAAATATATAAAAAAATGAGGGACGAATCAATAATGTATAAGGGTAAAGAAATAATTGTATTAAAACAAATACGTAGTATACGAAATCAGAGACGAGAATACCAATTTTTAACGACTCAATTAAATATAAAGTCAAGTTTCGTTGGTTAATACCTGAAGGCATATTTTTAACTTGGCAGGAGAAAAAATACAAGATAGATACACTTGAGAAAGCACAGGACTTTTATGAGAGTTACTTTTCACAAGGAGAAGAACAAGAAAGTAGGGAAGAGCCGGAGAGTAAAAGTTATGATGAAGATCTATTAGAGGAAGTAGATCGAGAGCGAGAAATACAAAAGTTACAAGAAAGAGAAAGGTTAGAAAGAGAAGTAAAAGGAAGACTTATAGAGAGAAGAAGTACAAAACAAAATAAAAACAAAAAAATAGGTCAAGTTAAAAATGGGAGACATAATTAAGCTCTTTTCTATAATATCAAGAAAAAGAGTTTAGACGTTTTACAATTTAAGGAAATTGGATGTAGATGTGATGTATCTTTAGGAGGTTTACATAAAATAGGATTATAGAAAATTACTAGAGAAAGTAAAATTTAGAAACATTATACACAATATTAGCATAAAACAAGAAAGGAAGAATTATTATATATATCAAAGAAAAATAAAATTAAATAAATATACTTGGGTGAAAAGGGGTGAATTTTAATGTTGGAAATGGTATTAGAGTAGAAACAGTATATTCACTAAATAATATGAGAATATTAGTATGATCACCATGCTTAGATGGAATTCCGGTCGAGTCTTATAAAAAATATGTGTTATTAAATGAATAATGTTGGATTCCTAGTAAGCAGTAGAATATGAAAGAAGGAAAATGTAAATAAGAAACAATGGGGCAATAAGGACAAATATTTCAAAAAAGAAAGAGGGGGGAAATGTAAAGAATAGAAGAGTACTGTTACAAACTCCTGTTAACAAAAAAGGATATATTACATTTGTATGTGTGTAATGTTTGATGTGTTTTGTTTTGTTTTGTTGGTCTAAAATAATAAAAATTAAAAAAAAAAAGATAGGCCATTGTGTATTAGCCAGATGTTTGCTGTATTCTTCAGCCTTCCTTGCCTGATGAGCACATATACTGAACAATTATGGAGTGATTGTGTAGCCAAAGGAAATTGAAAAAGAAAAATAAGTTATTGCTATATAATCTTAACAGCAAAGAACAATTAAAGAACTTGTCATAAGAAAAAAGAAAAGCTGAAGGAATATTTTCTAAGTAGTCTAGTAAGGATTGAATATGCTCACTTCCACAGAATACTATTGTACAAATAATTTTATTTTCCATGAACTTTATTTTGTAACGGTGTCTGTCCTTTCTTTGGCAAGAAACAAAATGATCATGTGGGAAAAATGGAATTTCTATCTAAAAGCAGTCCATCTCATTTCTTTATTCTACTGCATGTAAATAAAAGGCTCATATTCCTGTCAGTATTATTTACTGAGAATTGAATGGTATTGATTTATATTGCCATTCCATTACATACCACTTAGTTGCCATAATAATGCCTCTATTTCTCAGAGAAATGTAAAAGCTTCAAAATCTTCAAAGATGAGAAATGTGAAACATACAGATAACACAAAACTGAAGAAGAGTTTTGTTTCCCTGTCACTTCTTCTTGTTACTTATCTCCTATTTGATACTTTTTTTGTACATTTTTACTCCACTCTGGTTCTAAGCACTCTATAAAGGCATTAATTGTTCTGGCTGTTTGAGACAGGAATATTTAAAATATGCCAGGAGCAATTATGAACTTTTCATTGTGGTCCTAAAGTTTTATTCTGGATTCTAAAGAATGAACTCTACAGAGTGCATTACATAACATACCTTATGATAGGTCCATTTTAATAGCATTTTAATATTAAATATTTTTATTATTTTTTAATCCTAACATATTATTCCATTTATTGTGGAATGTTTTCTGTTTCTACTTTAATCTTTGCTTTTAGAAAACATTATAACTAAATAAAAATATATTTATTTGGCTTTAATAGGTTCTCTGGCTGGTATCCTATTGCTTTTACTCATGTTTGGTGGAGTGATATGGATTGCTTTTACAAAAAAAAAAAATGGTGAGTATATATATGTATCTTAATTTATATGGAAGACCAGCTAATCCCTATTTGATTTTTTCAAATCTTTGTCTTAGCCCTCAAGACACTTCTCATAATTATGATTTAGAATTTGATAACTTTATCTTTATATATGCCTCAGCAATAATCTTCAATGCAATTTTGTATCTAAAAATACTAAAAACTTTTAGCATTTGGCACTGATTTATTCTTCAGCCAAATGTGAATCCGCATATAGCTTAAAATGCAGAAATAAACTAACAAATAGAGTGTGACTTTCCCATTTAATGCCCGCAAATTTAAATATTTTTTGGGAAAGAAATAAATGAAATTTGATTGACACAATAGATTCTAGTTATTTGTTACTGAAACAAAGAACGTCGGTTGAAAATACTCTTAAGGAAGTGGCAATCACAATTTAGGACAATATCAAATATCAAAATGTAACATGCACTGAGAGAAACACAGTGATTTTATGATGTTTTGCCATTCTCATCAGCTGCGCTCCATCAATGCTCACTCTTTTTTAAGTTTTACACTGAACAACGCATGACCCATTAGGTCAGCATTTCAGGGATATTTCCTTATCTAAAAAGGGAGACAGAATTAGCATGGGTGGGCAAAAAAAATCAGTGGGAGTGATGACTTCTGACTTCTTGTCAGCTTCCCCATTGAACTTTCTTGTGAAATCAGAAATATTCTCCCTGTCCTCCCAGTTACACAATACTTGCATAGGTCCTAGTCTTTTGTACAGCAGTTCACTGACAAACTCACCTGGATTTGCCAGTGTTTTGATGTCTCTCAAGGTGGTGATTAGGGTACTGTTTGCATGTTATTTGGGACTCTTTCAGGTTTGTAAACATAAAGGAAGTGGAAAAGATACTGTCTAGACTGGTTTTGCTGCATGTGATTTGGTCTTATGCCAATCCTGGCTATTGCAAAGTGTATATGGAAAAATGATCACCTGGATCCCTCAGATTGTTAATATCTTCATGAAGAAAAGCTGCCAACAGCATTGAAGGTTGTGGTGCATTCATTTTCTAGGAAACCATCTCTGGACCCTCTGCTCCTAGATAACAATTGTAGTAATTCAAGCTTGTAGCTGAAGCTGAAACTAAAAGGTATTGCTCAGTTAAAATGACAGTACTGAGCTATTAAGTCCCAAAGGACATTGAGCTAGCTATTGCCTTGATGGCTTTCAGAGGTTATTAAAAACTAGTTTTTTTCTGGTAAGCACTCAAATATTCCTAATCTAGTGTGGCATCACTTACTTTATTCTTTTGTATTTGTGATTTTGTTTGTTATGCTGTTTGTTGGTAAAGGAAGATGGTCTGTGCAGAGTAGCATCAGTTAAAAATAAATTCAAGAGCTTTTGAAATTCCAACAAGTGTTTGAGGAAAGATCTTGAACTCAGTTCAAATTCATTTTTCTAGAGAGAAATTCCAATCATTCATCAATGTGTATTCACTGGTGGCAAAATACAGAAATTATTGTATTTTTACAAAAATCTGACAGCAATGGCATCTAGTGTTGGTTTTATATTACACTTTCATATCAAATAGAAATTATTTTTAACATTTTGTACATTTTTTTTCTTTACACTGTTGAAACAAAGATTTTTTTTTAGAACAGCAAAATTCTGCAATAGAAACAGGCAGATATTTTAAATAAATGTAAATCAGCTTTCTATTACAATTAAGGCAATTTTAACAAAAGCCAATGATTCAATAACATGTATAAAATAATTAAAATAGTGATAAAAATAAACATTAAAATTTAAATAAATAAAATGTTTGTCTGCTATTAGCTGAAAATGTATAGTGGAAATATATGGGCATTTCTCTCTCTCTCTCTCTTTCTCTCTCTCTCTCTCTCTCTCTCTTTCTCGATATATGCTAGTTTATTGTCAATCCCTAATGAAAAATTATTGAGTGACACAGAAATAGAATAAAAACCACATTTTTTCTGTATGTTTATTATCCATTCAACATATCTTAATTTTTTTTCTTAACCACTTTTAACACCAAAAACCATGTTTTCCAAAAAATAAAACCCAACGGGAAAATATGCCCTAGTATGATTTTTCATGAAGCTCGTAATATAAGCCTCACCCCAAAAATAAGCCCCAGTTAAGATTGCCAGCTAGACGGATGCATTTAGTACTGTATTTCTCCCAAAATAAGACCTAACTGGAAAATAAGCCCTACTGCATCTTTTGGAGCAAAAATGAATATAAGACCCAGTCTTATTTTCAGGGAAACACGGTACTATTTTGTCTCTCTTACCCTGAGTAAAACTGCCTTAGGGAGCTTATACAGCCAAATTTGGTAACTAAAGGGTGTCTTACTCTTTCCAAGGTGAAGAATATAGTGATTAGAAAGTAAAATCATGACAAGAGTCGTTTGCTGAGATGGGTGGACGAGAGTCGTTTGCTGAGATGGGCGGACCAGAGTCGTTTGCTGAGATGAGTGGTTAGAGAAATAATAATAAAAAATGATCTAGGGGAATTTTTCAAAGGACATTTCAGCCCTGGAAAAATGCTTCTCAGCCCGTCTATCTTCTCTCTTACCCCCAAATATCATATTTAGTAACTTTACTGACTGATATTTCTACTGTTTGCTACTTTGAATTCTTTGTAAAAATAAAAAAAAAAGTTTAAGAACTTTCAATTGCTTGTTCAGTCTGCCTCTCACCTTCCCCAGATGGTGGCAGTAGCACCCTGCAGATAAATATCTCCTATTTTCTTTTACCTTTTTCTTAACTGAACTTAAAACCTTCCTGAAGAAATATGAAAGCTGGAAGGGAATGAAGCTCACCTTGCTGCCTCTGTGGAGCTGTTTGGAGCACATCTGTGAGCTTGGCCTAGAAGTCTGTCCTTGCAGCTTATTTGCCATTGTATATCATTAATGTTCATACATTAGCAATTTAGTGCAGCTTACTTGCAGTATTAGATTTTGTAGAACAAACAAAATTACTACCATTAATGTGCAATAAGACTGTATAACATTAAAGAAACCTAAGTTATAATTTTTATAGCAGTGTTTTTCAGTGTGAAATTCACAATGGAGAACAGATTTCTGTACATACAAGCAACAGAAAAGGCATTATTTCTATCACAGTACATGGTATCTCACTTCAATATTTTTTTAGCCAAAATCATCTTAAAGTATGTCCAGCACTTCCACTGCAGTTGCTTTTCCCCCTACATCATAACCGATTTCAAATGGTGCTAGACAAAAACTAAGACTCTGAACACCAAGAGAAATCGGTCAGCCTGTGTAAGAGATGTTTTCCCGAGTTAACACTGGTTGTTAAAGTGCTGTAGGTTATGCAGAACATGCTAACAATCTGATGGGCATTTTCATTAAGCAAGTATTTTTTATTATTTATCTTGAAAAATTAGTCTAAACAAATGTTATTGGTTACTGAATATTTTTATTTGCAATTTGTGACTAATAACTGTACCAATTAAATGTAAACACTAACCATTTAAATTTGTAAACCCTAAAGTTCCTGTATTAGTAACAATACTTTATTCATTTGCTACTTTGACGTGTGTACTGGTATATATTTTCTAAATGCTCAGTGTCCATTATATGCATTCGATTTTTTGGGGAGGGGGGAGGAGATGAAAGCACAGGGCACCCTCAAGATAGACTGTAAGTGTATGCTCATACACATGCATACTTATAAGCAACTCTTATTAAGTTAGGTGACCTGATTCATTTCTAAGTAAGTATATTGAAATATTCTACTAGCTAATAAGCAAACAAAACCAAAAAAATTCCTTTTACACCAGAAAACCCAATTCAGAGTCTTTCTTTCAGTAAAAAGTATTATTATGTGTAATATTGGCCTTATTAGAATAGCTTCAGTTCAATCAGGGCTAAACAAAATAAAAGCAGTATTTTACGTAATTGTTTCAAGGTAGTAGAAGAGTGTTGTGTGTAATAGATAATTGACATGTGGTTCTCTCCATGTTCTAGTACTATCTGTGGTAGAAGTCCTTTTGGAAAAAAAAACAGTTTCTATTAATTGATCAAGGATTTTGAGGAGGAAGGGACAGTTTTATCTTTTCTTAATGAAAAGAAATGCCACTGTTGGATTATTGTTTTTTAAAGTCATTTCTGCTTCCGTTCTAACTGTTACATGTATACAGACCTGGATAGAGTAATCCTTTGTTGTATCAGTTTTTAATCTTATTTTAAATTAACATTTCAGTTCTTGCTTAATGATAGCTTTGTTGCTGCTTTCTTTTCTACATCCAGTGCTGTAATTCTTGCTCCTAGAACACTGATTTCAAATGGTGCTAGATACAGAGATGGAAAAATCTAAGCCACCATGTGAAACCAGCTTCCAGAGGAAGACACATTGTTGTTTCCTTCTTCAGCATCCATGCATTTTATAGGAAGTTGTCCTGCAAGTTTCCTAGAAGGAAATGTTTTTGTTGTTTCTGTTTCATACATACAATAACAAAAGTAAAACATAATATTTAAAAACTGAGAATATTCTACCTGGTAAGGAAATAGAGTTAAGAAAGTAGTATAACATTAAATTACTTATTAGCATGGGAAGCTTGCATTTCCTTCTTAAATCCTACCAGAAGCATTAGCATTTGTGACAAGGACCATCACAGGAAGTGGCAACTCTGTCATTAACCGTGTGATGTTAAGCACATGATGGAATTACCACCTGACTTCTGCTGCGGTTGTTAAATGAAAATCAACCTATGGTCAAGTGAGACAAAACTATGACTTGCATTTCATTGCCAGCTTCTATATTGATTCTCTTTGTTGAAAGCCAACTGTGAAGCTCGCAAGTGATGATCACATGACTATGGGGTGCTGCAATGGTTGCAAATGCTGCTGATTGCAAAGCGTCTGAGTCTCAATCATGTGACCACAGGGATATCACAATGCTTGTTATGTACAAGACCACCATCATAACTTTAAATGGTTGCTAAACAGGGTAGTTGTTAAGTAAGGACTACCTGTACATCAAAACTATTCCTATAGCACTTACCATTTGGTTATCTCTTGTAGTAAGCCACAAGCATCTAACCAAACTACTTTCTTGAAGTTTTGACTTTTTTCATCATTATCATCTTGTTTAATTCTTCTTTAATTCTTTTACTGAAAAAAATGAAATGAAGAAATATTGATGCCAGTTCAGATAAGCATAATACATTATTTCAAAAGCTTCCCATCTTTATTTATTATTCAACTTATTCTCTTTTATCATTTTTATATTCTAGATCAGATTTTTTTCTAGCATAATACATTATTTCAAAAGCTTCCCATCTTTATTTCTTATTCAACTTATTCTCTGTCTCTTTTATTGTTTTTATATTCTAGATCAGATTTTTTTTCTTAAAGAAGCTTGTTTTTAGGTATTAAAATCGTATCTGGATCTACTTATTGGATTATTGGTTGCATTTAATATTAAAGATCTTCTATGTTTTGGAGGATTTTACATACATTCAATTTTTCTTTTAATTTTAGGACCAATCTAGTCTTGTGAAATACTCACACAACCTTTCTGCTAATGTTTTGTCTTAATTTCCTTTTCTTATTATGCCTTTCATTATTTTTTGATGTTTTTCTTTATAATTTTTTTTGTTCCATTCAATTGTGTCTGATTCTTGGAGACTGTCAGGCAAGCTCTGCAGCAGGTGTTTTTTAGAAGTGGTCTACCATTGTCTCCTTCCTAGAGCTGAGTGAACATGATTGGCCCAAGGTTATGCAACTGGCTTTGTGCCTCAGGCAAGGCTGGAACTCAAGCTCTCCCAGTTTCTAGCTTGATGGCTTAACCATACTATACTGGCTCTTACACAATAAATACATTTATGCAAATAGGTTATTTGTTCACTAATTCTTCAGAATGCTTATCTGGTTGGTAGATTTTCTCAGAATTAGTGCCAAAGTGATTTTCTTCATAAACCTTCTTTCCTCTAACATGCTTTAGCTAGGCATTTTTGTAATTCATTCCACATAGAAAGTTCACGCAGATATTTTTGAAATATTTTTGTCCCTCAGTTACATGCTTTCCTTTTATTTCTAGCCGTTCCTTCATCTTCATAAGCCCCTTCTTTTCCCTCAAGTTTTCTTATTCAGCATTGTCCTCATCTAACTTCCTTGTGGAATTTTGCATATCTCCATCTGTTCCTTTCACTGTCCCATGATTCCTTTTTTTTAAAAAGAAAGCAATCATTTTTAAATAACAAAGGCATTATTTTTATTTTTGATTTTTCCAGCTGATATTTTTTATCTTGATCAACATTTAGCATCTTCTTTCTTCTTTTGTGCATCACATTTATTTAGATTGGAAGTTTGGAAGCATTAATAAATTTTGTTACTAGTTAGTATATTTAGATATTAAATTCTCTTCATTGTAACTTTTTCTCCCAGATTTTGGAATTAATAATTACCTGATCTTTACTGAGTAGTATCAAACTACTCTTTTTGAACTAGACCACCATACATGTGAAGTTTGCCTCAGCTTTCAGCTTACTCTCATTCTCACTTTATTGGACATCAATGTGTATGAGGAATTTGGGCAGTTATTATAATACAACTTGCAAATACAACTGTAGTGTAATTTAATTCTTGTGGGTAGGTGATCTAAATAGGCCCTATCCAACAAAATGAGTTTCAATGTGGAGAAAAGCAAAGTCCTACACTTAGGCAGGAAAAACCAAAGGCACGGATACAGTTTGGGTGAGACCCGGCTTAAAAACAGTAACTGTGAAAGCGACCTTAGAGTCCTAATGGACGATCACTTGACTACGAGCCAGCAGTGTGCAGCAGCAACCAAAAAAGCTAATACAATCCAGGCTTGTATAAACAGAGGCATAGAATCAAGATCATGCAAAGTACTACTATTGCTTTACAAAGCCCTAGTAAGACCACACCTGGAATATTGCAGCCAATTCTGGTCACCATATCATAAAAAAGATGTTGAAAGTTTGGAAAAAATTCAGAGAAGAGCAACTAGGATGATCAAAGGCCTGGAGGCTGAAATATACAAAGAACGGCTGCGGGACTTGGGTTTGGCTAGTCTAAAGAAAAGAAGAAATAGGGGAGACATGATAGCAGTGTTTCAGTATCTGAGGGGCTGTCACAAGGCAGAAGGGGTCAGGTTGTTCACCAGAGCATCAGAGGGAAGCACAAGAAATAATGA